GCTGTGTCTCGGTGCACTCTGCTTCTAGTTTTTGTTTGCTGTATCCTGGCTGACGTGATCAAAGAATAGATTCATTTTCTGTGAGTTGTTTTTGGATATTCCACAGAACTTTGAATCAAACAGTTTCTTTGTGAATGAAATTTGTGCTAGAAGAAAATATTTTTCCATTTAGAAATGGAGCATCTGTGATGTTTCTGGAGAGATCTGTTTTTTCTGCTTGTCAAAAGCAGAATGTTCTGGCAAACGTGACCCACTAAACTTACGCATTTATCTGTACTTCCTCCTCAAATCCCATTAAAAGAAGAAATAAAGTGAGTGTAGGCATAAAAATGGCATTAACATAGGAAGATAAAACTAGAGGGAAAGGAGACAGCAATACATGAGCGATGACAGCATATTTCAGGAAGTTTGAAAATGAATGCGTAAGTGAAACTGACTTAGTAGACCGAGATAGCTGGAACCTAAGCCTGAATGAGGGAATGCAATGAGAAAGCAAATAATTAATTTCCTTGACATTTAGAAATTCGAGGCAGCTGGGACTTCAGAAATGGGGGATCAGAAAAGAGCTAAAAGAAAAAGAATTGATTTAAAGTTTGTAGAAGCCACAGTGAGCCCTCGGATACTGATTTCCTCACCTCCCGTTCAGACTTGGGCAGAAAGCAAGGAGGTCGGAAAACCTCTGAGAGGTTGTGCCAAGAGCTTCAGAAGTCAGCATCCCTGGAGCAACTGAGTCTATCATTAGACATATACCAAGAAAACAAGGATTCCATGAGGTTTGCACGGTGAATAGTGATACCCTTTCCCTCCCTAAAACTCTGAAAGCCAGACTAAACTTCTCCCACCAAGCAGGAAACACAGTACGTCTCTGACGCAGAGTTTGTTAACTTTGAAGTAATAATAGGAATATAAATATTGAAGTGGTTGTTAAAATGAGACAATTATTAACCCCAGGAAAAGAAAATGTTATACAAGTAAAGAGCTGTGATGATGGCAAGCTACTAAGCTTAACCAGGAACAAAACTTACATACTCATAACATGTAAATACTGAAGATCGTTTAACCATAAATGTTTATATAACTAAATTTGGTGAGCTGGGGGAGAGTTAAGTGTACATGGAGGGTGATATAAGGGGAAATGAATCCCCAGTAGGAAATTAATAAGCTGTCAAAATTGAAAAAAATAAACCCACATAGCATCAATTTAGATATATGAATGTAAATGGCAGAAAAATAGCTGAAGAAAGGCTGTCTCTGGGATTAGGGGTGGTGAGGGCAGAGGTACAACTGTTTTTTATATGCTTTATAGAAGTATTTGAACTTTAAAATCATATGTGTGGATTGTACTGATAATTTTTAAATAAAGGATTTTTCAGAACGATACACCTGACTTGAGATTGCCAGGTTTGGGATTTGACTTTACTTTTAAGCTAATAAGTGGCCTATTACTGTTTTGTGGGTGCTGACAGAGGCACAAGACTCCTGGGTCAGAGACAAAGGATCTGTTTATTCACCAAAAACAAGCAGCAGGAGCATCAGCATATTTGACAAAGCCCTCTCTTGCCCTTGGGAAACCTGGTGGGGTAGTGGTTAAGAGCTATGGCTACTAACCAAAAGGTTGGCAGTTCAAATCCACCAGGTACTCCTTGGAAACTCTATGGGGCACTTCTACTCTGTCCTATAGGGTTGCTATGAATCAGAATCAACTTGATGGCAGGGGGACTTTTGTTGTTGTTGTTCTTTTTCCCTTGCCCTCAAGGCCCCTTGGCACAACACAATGGGCCCAGGTGAAAATAACACACAAAGTCTGTTTACGTCACAGCTGTGGAACACTGAACTTGGGAACTCTATTGCTTATATAGCAAGCTATAAGCAAACCTTCTCTTTGTCTGGGAGAGCAAAGTTACCTCAACTCTCAAAATTGTGGTTGTTAGTTGCCTTTGAGTAGACTCCAACTATTACAAAACTTCTACTGATGCGCAAAATTTAGACCTAGACCCTTAGGATTACCTATCTTACAATGTTTTAAGAAATAAATTATGTAAGTATAAATATCTGTGTATTAATTAAACATATATAATATATATTTAAATATATATAAAATTTAGAATAGCATCTAGCATAATAAACCAAGGCAGTTGTCCTTCCGACACTAAATTTAGAAATATTGGGAATAATATAAATACTTCTGATTTTCATAAAGAGCCTAAAATAGAGTCAGACAACATTTTAAGTTCTTCAATTAGTGATTGGGATAGGCATTATATTCTAGGCAATGTTTGCTCAAAAAATGGATAATTCACCAATTTTAAAGAGGACAAATATTATAGGCAGATTTTCAGACATTACTACTTCACTAAACCAAGACTTCTTGTGGGCTACTAAAAAATGTCATATCCTGTTTGTGTGTCTTATCTCAAAAAGAGGAATTAGTGTCCTTTCTTACACAAGCAGACATTCATTTCCAAAATAGTAGATGGTGATTGTCACTTGATTTAGTTTTCTTTTGATATTGTCTAGACTCATCTTTAATTTATATGTAATATTTTGATAAAGAAATTCAGAATAACACTCCCCAAGTTGGCACATATTTTTCATCAATATGCTATTAGAGAAGTCTTTGTTTTGTACCTTAACCAAAAAAGACAAAAAAGTCAGTAAGTAGATTTTCCAGGATATGATTTTTGACAGAAGTTCTACAAACAGTGTTTTTCTCTGCCAAATAATTCCTTTCAAGCACTTTTTAAAAAATTTTAATGATGTAATGTCTCTCATTTTATGCCAGAAAAATAGCCAGGATGTGAATTTGACATTGCAAACATGGTGAGAGGCTGGAAAAGATTCTCAGAATGCTATTTACTTCTATCCAAAAGGTCACAGAGTTAACTCTTCAAGCCAGCATTTGAAACTGGCTGGCCAGAGAGCCTGGGATGTTTGGAAAATGAATGCGTGTAAGTTCAAAATGTACTGGTGCATTCTCTTCTAATAAACCCTTTCACAAAGCAGAGAACATCATGTCCACCTACTTTTACAACCGCCTACTTAAGAGAGGACTTTGTAAATTTCCAGGAACATACTTGCAGGATCTAACCTAGCTGAGCCGTAAAAAAAAAAACAAAGAGGAAAAAAGAAAAAAACAAAAGGCTTTTGAAGAGTGAACTCTGAATTATTTTAGGGTATTATGAAGTCTGACTTGAAAAAACTTCCAAATGATCCTCCTGAAAGTCTTCTTTAAAAATCCAACAGTTCCACGTGTCTGCCTGTGTCTCGCAAATTATGTTAATTGTACCTAACTCACCAAGAGTATCGTAGCGCCTATCATTATAACTTTATGACTATGGTCTACCTATAAATGCCATTTTGGAGAATCTGGTTCCATTTTGTAGAGCTGCTGGTTACTTTTTGTTAAAGTTGAAATGTTTTTATATGTGATACAGTCAGTCATTTTTGTGCCAACCCTGTAAAACTGGGAGGCAGAGAAGGGAATGGTAATAGCGAAGTTCATATGGGTGAGGGTAGATAATATATTAATAATGATTAATAACTAATATTTTAGGGTTTATTATACGCCAAACACTTGTCTAGGCTTTTGACATGTATTAACTCATATATTGCTCTCAGTGACTCTCTGGGGTTAGGTGCTATTACTTTCTTCATTTTAGAGATAAGAAAACTAAAGTATAGTGAGGTAAAGTAATTGGTCTATGGTCACAAAGCTTAGGTTAATTTATCCACCTAGGGGGCTTGTGAGCAGGCATCTGGCTACAGACTCCTAGTCTTAAGTAAGACACTGAATTTCAATGGGAATTCTTTCAATAAAAGTGGTTGGCTAGAGAGTTCTCTTAAAAGACTTTGTTGGAATAAGCTTGAGTTTGTTTGGGCCTGAGTCTCTCCCTCTCAGATCTCAGGAACTACATGTTCTTGGTAATCCCTGAAGAGATAAGAATAATATACTTTTTCAACAACAAATACACGAGTGATGCATAAACTGGAATGCCATTATATTAATACTTTCTGGAAGGAATTTTTACAAAGCATTCCCAGTGGGTGAATGCTGGTGTCCACCAGCCAGGTTGTCCCACTTTGTGTAAGGCCAAATCAAAAGTTTGCTTGGTGATAGTCTAGAAGGATATTTCTTGACTCTTCTGAGATCTGATGAAATATCCTAGTCCAAAACAGGGATCTTCACTGTAATAATTAGAATACACAAGTCTTCCAGATTTAGGTTTTTATCCACTAAATACTGCTAGATATTATTCACTAACAATTTCTTCAGTGTAGCTACAAAGATGGCTGCAATTTGCCACCCAGGGTTGCTTTCCTGCATTCTGCTTTGTCACGATCTGAACTCAAATTTCCCTGATACAGTTATCCGTCCTAGCCAGCGTCAATGTGATTTTGCGGTAAAATGTGCATTTCTGCATTTGGTGTCAATTTTATGGAAGCCAATCTCAAATTTCTATTTGGGGGGTGTCTTCTAAAAGTGTAGACCCCTTTTAGACTTCTACAGCCCTCAAATAAATAAATGTATTCCCGTATCTCTTCAGGGATTACCAAAAAGTATAAATGTATACTTGGTTGTTGATGCATACAGCTGTCCTGTCTTCAAAAAAAAAAAAAGATTTATATATAAGGGCATGGCCTGTTTCATGATAAATAATATACCCCAGATCGGAGATTTTATATAAATTGATGTTAGTAATTACCGAGCAATATTGTGTTTCAATTGTACTTTCAACAATCCCCACCAAAACCAATTGCTGTTAGGTCAACTCTGGCTCATGATGACCCCATGTGTGTCAGAGTAGAACTCTGTTCCAAAGAGTTTTCACTGGCTGATTTTTCAACGGTATATTGCTAGACCTTTCTTCTTTGGTGCCTCTGAATGGACTCGAACCTCCAACCTTTTGGTTAACAGCCGAGCATGTTAACTGTTTTTACCATCCAGGGACTCCTACCTTGGACAATAGATTATTAATACGATGTCATGAATTTCCTTTAAGAAGAATTATTTTGAATTCTTTCAGATTGACATTAACACTGTCCTGTCCAATGGATCTCAAAAATTTTCCAATGGATGTACAAACATGTATAATGCAATTGGAAAGCTGTAAGTATGAACAACTTAACTTTCTCGGAATATTTTGAAAAATGCAGTTTGTACAAACTTTTAACGGCTTATATGGATAATTTATTTTGTAATTTTTTTGGGGTAGATTTTCACCAAAGAGGCATATATTTCACTGGTTACCGAAAGTAATGATAACTATCAACACATGGACTTCTATAATATGATAAAGAAACAAATAGAGGGTGGAGAAGTAACAGTTTTTAAGTTTGAAAACAGGTATATGTCTCCATACAAACCATCAAAAGTAAAAAAGGATAATAATCATTAAAAACAAACTATATTTATTTATTGAGTGGTTGCTATCGACTAAAAAATTTTCATATGACTTATTCTCACCACAAAGATACTGTTATTTCCACGTTACCACATATAAAAATGGGCATTTCAAGTGATTTGACTATTGTGTTCCAATTTATAGAGGTGATGATGACCATCCAACTCTCTGGCTCCAAAGTCTATGATCTCCTATACCATTTTGCTGCCCCTTAACTACTATTTACTCAGAGTGTACTCTGCTGGTATGTTACGTACGTTAACTCAAGAGAAAAGAAATTTCTCACATTTTATCAGAAACTTACACAAGCTTGCAGGTATCCTTTAAATTTATTCTTCCAAAGTGCATCCAGATACATTGTTGGTTAATATTAACACAAATGACACCTTTGGATCCTTGTGTTTCTCCGAATTTATTTATGTAATCAACTGTAAATTAATTGGTTTGTAGTGTTTAATCCCATTTACAAAGTAAGAATTATGGAATATTTTTGCTCGTAGCACTATATCTATTGTATCAGGGGAGGAAAATCTGTTTTGAAATGTTCCTTGAGGAAAATTTGAGGGTATAGGGTCTCTATGACTAGGAGTCAACTTGATGGCAATGGGTTTGGTTTTTGGTCGGTCACTTCCAGGCCTCAGAGGCAAGATACGCAGTGTGATGGAGTTGCCACTAGATGGCGTGCCTGTCTCATGGGGGAGTGCCACCATTTCCTATATTTGGTTTCTTTTTAAAATAAAGAAGTAGAAATACTAATTTCTCTGATAATAACTCCTTCTTGTTAAATTATATGCATTAATTTTGTAAGTAGTTCTTAAATGTTAAGCATACATATAAATAAAGAACTAAAGTAAATGAAGGGGAAATAAAATAATCTAGTTTTAGTCAGGGAGCTGTTTAGCAATATAAATGGGAGGTGCAAAAAATGATTCATAGCAGTGCAGATTTTTGAATTGTACCATAAAGAAAGGCATTTTTGAGGACAGGCTTATCCTGTACCTTGGTTGCAACTGGGTACATGGTAGGAAATAGAGGAAAAAATCATGCATAAAGCAGCCTAAGACTGGTGCCCTAATAATAGTAATAAGCACTGGATGTTGGCTGTTACTCAATAGTCAGTAAGGAACTGTTCAAGATTTAGGAGCAAGAAAATGACTTGGTTAATACTACAGACAACCACTCATCGGTTAGTTTGTGTACCGGGGTGGCTTGCGTGTTGCTATAATGCTGGAAGCTTTGCCACCAGTATTTCAAATACCAGCAGGGTCATCTACCGGGAGCAAGTTTCAGCGGAGTTTCCAGACCAAGACAGACTAGGAAGAAGGGCCTTGTGATCTACTTTTGAAAATTAGTCCATGAAGACCTTATGGGTCCCAATAGAATATTGTCTGTCACAGTGCTGGAAGATGAACCCCCTAGGTTGGAAGGGGCTACACAATGGCCAGAAGAATGGGCTGAAACATACCAATGATCACGAAGATGGCGCAGGACTGGTAACATTTCACTCTGTGGTAGATGCGATCGCCATGAGTTGGAGCAAATTCAGCGGCAACGAACAACAGCATGCCTCAGAAAGATTATTTCAGCCAAATGAACCAAGATTATTTAAGATTTCATAATATTCCAGCAAAAAGAATAGAAAGTAGGGACAAAAGGGAATGCTATGAAATATAGAAACAATACAGGTTGATACAAATTGGATGTGAAAGCTATGGGCACCCATGAATCGGAGCTAAAGAGCTTAGAGAAATAGAATCATACCAGAGAATTCACAGAAAAAGAGAACAGATGAGGAGAAGCACATGATGAAAGGCATATTGATAAATCCAATTTTAATGTGTTTCAGACCTTTTGGACACTTACATTTTCTAAAGCCAAAGGAAGATGTTACAACTAGAGATACACTTTAAAAGACACAGAGTGGCTCCAAGAATCAGATAAATTAACTGAAAGTCAAAACAGAAGAAAAACAAAAACAAGGAAGGACACACTCTTAAGAAATGCCTGTATTTCAGATTGTTTGAAGAAATTCCAGACTAGAGGTTGTCCTATGTGGCAAATTAAAAGCGGTATTTTTCATTCCTAAAAGAGAAGAGGCATTGAAGGGGAGTTGTTTAACAGTAGCAAACGCTGAGAAAATGTTTTCAAAACAATCATTAAAAAAGAGTCATCGCTATTATGACAATCAAAGGAAGATTTGATCACAATGATGAGGGCCAGAGATGGATTCCGAAGAGTTAAAAAAAAAAAAGTGGGTAATGAAAAAGTGACAGTAGTGAATGAAATCTATTATTACAAGAATTATTAAAGAAAGATGAGAAAGTTAGTTATTAAAGAAAGATGAGAAAGAATGCATGCCTGAGGGATAGCTGAGTCACTGGACCTCTTTTATGGAATAAGGCAAGCTCACTGGGACTATTTTGCAGGATACAAGGGCTGACATAACAAGACTTTTTGTATTTCTGCCTTTCCCAGAACATTTCCAAATCAATACAAAACTCTAAGTGAAAACAGAGCCTCTTGCCTCTGCCCCTAATTCCTTTATCAGAAATAATTGGGTTAACTCAACTGGCCCTTGATTATTTCAGAAACATTAAACGTCCCCTACCCTCTTATTAGAGATTATTTTAGCACACAGTATAGACAATGTTTACTAAACTCTGTCAGCAGACATTTAGAAAATCCTGTCAGTCAAACTAGAAGCTATAAACTCAAATTCTTGTTAATCAAATTATTTTGCATAATTTTGTAAATAATGGCCTAAAAGGGCAAATTAAGAGATTTTAAGTAAAAATGAACGGGAGAGTAGTTTTAAAAATACTCAAGAGCTGTAAGAGTCCATTGTCCACTGCTGAATGAATTCTGACTGCAAAGGGAGAAAACAAGACACGGTGAGAGGCATGGAAAACAAGCAAGAGGGAAACATAATTTAAAGACAAAGTTCTTAATGATCTAACCAACTTACTGAAATTTAATAAACATTCAATAAATGTATGTCAGTGGTGAGGACTGTTCTAAGTAACCTGGGAAATGTAAACTCTTTTATTCATCAATCAAAAGAATATATCAAATATCTAATATTTTCCATGTACTGAGCTATATAGCAATAAATAAAGCACAAAAGTCTTTATTTCAAGGACTTTAGGGACTAGAGGAGGAGTTATTTGTTGAATAGAGTAATTCAATTAAAGATGATAATCATATATAAACAGCAAACTGTTGGCTCAAAGAAGAAAGTAACTAAGGGAAGAACTGCATGGAGGGTAAATAAATAACTCAGAAAAGTATATTTTGTTTAAGTAAGCAAGGACCCCACACAAACCTTAAAGTGTACATTCATGACTTGGATTTAAACCTTGGGTGATATAAATTCTTAGAGAGAATGAGAAAAGTTCTGGAGTAGAGGTATGCAGGGAGAATCCAGAGAATTCCACTGAAGCCAAAGGAAAGAGTAGTGGCTCCATTTATATGTTCTAAGTACAGAAGTTTCCTTTATCAGATATAAAGGCTTTCCCCGTAACATACTTATTCCTCAACTCTCCACAGAGAGTTATATAAGCCAGAAGCTCAACATCCCATGTGTTCCTTTGATCTGGAATATCCTTCAATAAATCTCACAAGCGAATTCTGGGATAAATACAGTGAATGTATGCCTTTGAGTATGAGTACAATGTGTTAGTTTCATTTATTTCTCTTTCTTTTAAATATTCATTTGTTACTCTCAAGTTCAGCCAGAAAACACAGGCCAGTTACCATGACAATTTGCAGCTCCAAAATTTTTATCCATAAACCAAAAAAAAAAAACAAACTCATTGCCTCTGAGTCAATTTCTAATAAAAAAGTAAATTACATGTGCACAGAGAGGATTCTACAATGAAGCTCTTCTTTTCATAAATGGTTTATTTAATTTATTTGTGTTAAATTATTTGATGCCCAATTTTCTTGTGCAGTCATTGCATTCATACGTGAAATTGAGTTCCTAATGAAGATGAGCTAAACAGGTAGTCCGCAATTCACGACGCATTTGAGTTACAACGAACTGCACTTACGACCATCCTTTTTGTTTATGATTTGTGTATTTTTATGTATGTATGTGTGTATTAAAATACATCTGTAAGTTTATGTGTAATATTTCGAACACCCAAAGATCGGATTTATAAAGATAGTGATAATAAAAGGCAATCATAATGAAAACTAAAAAAAAAAAAAAAAAAAATGAGGTATTTGACTTACGTCGTAACCGACTTACGACGGAGTTGTTGAAATGGAACCCCGTGGTAAGTCAGGGATTATCTGTATATTAGAGTAGTCACCAACTTGCCTTCTCAGGATTACATTGTAGTCATTCGCTTACTCAACTTCAGGATCTATTGCACGATCCTTTTTCATGGTGTTTTTTATTTTAGTTTGGTTTGTTTGTGTGTTTTTTAACTGCCTGTATAAATTAGAACAAAGTTCTCTTTTTGAAAGTTAAATTTACATCAATATCACAGTTTTATGTATTGATGCATTTTGTTTGCTTTGTAAATAGCTAATCTATGAGGAAAAGAAACACAGTTGCATTATAATTTAGATTATGCCCTTAAGAGATTTACAGTCCAACGCGATGTAGAGGAATAAAATTAATGGAAAAAGTAAAGATTTAATTTTCAGCCCTTTACTTATGTCATAAGGAAAATTTCCAAATAGGCAATTTTTCATGCAG